CCTTCATATGGACTATGCTTGTCATTCACATTGAATGTGTCTAAACCACACCCCTTGCTTTGATTCTTATTTTCCCCATAGCTTTTAGGAGCATGACTATATCAGATAAACAGCCCCCCCCCCCAAAAAAAAATCTTACCACCATCCTTACTTAATTGAACCCTGCCCTTCCTAAGACCTATTGACTTTTTTGCTTTCAGTTTTGTGCATATTTTTTCCCTCTGATTAGTTTGACCATTACTTTTAGGCAGTTTACTAAACCTTTGACAGTCCCAGCAGCAGGTATCCCCCAAAGATTATTAGCCACAGTGCCTCCTTCATGTTTGTTTTACATTCAAAATCTTCTAGGGGCTTTCCTTTTGCCTCTGACTTGGGTTATCATTATCACGGACACTTTTCATTTGGGGTGCACTTTTTCAGACTGCAAGCTTTATTCTTTGTCATTGATGGTCAGGATCAGGCAGAATGCACACGCTGTGGCACTTTCCAGTCAGCCATTCCAGGAGTCTAGTCCTGGATCCTCTGGGACTTGAGAAAGAGAAAGAATCCCACAACCCACAGGTATGTGCTCCCTGACCTTTGAGTAAACAAGTGCCAAGAATGTACTTTCTGGTGGGAGCTGCTGGAGGCCTGCTGCAGTTTACAAGGAGTTGATGATCCACTGCTGCAGAAGCAGGTGGGGTTAACAGTTCTTGGAGGGGCTAGAGGCATGGCTCGGCTGTTAAGAGAGGGCCCTGCTCTTGTGAAGGACTCATTTGGTTCCCAGCACCAATGAAGGGTGGCTCACAGCCATTTGTAACTTTAGTTCCAGGGGATCCAACACCCTCACATGTGTGCATATACGTGCACATACATGGGTACACACAGTTAAAAATACATTTTTTTCAAAGAGGTCTGAAGTGATATCAATACCTGGGCGCTTGATGGCAAAAATCCAGACGGTACAGATGGCTGTATGGTGACAAGTATCCCTTTGCCTTCTCATATCTAAGTCATGGCTCAACATACTAGATTCCCACTGACTGATTTTTCCAAGAAAAGTTTTGTTGGAACAGAGCCATGCTGTTTCATTTCTTGAAGTATTTTGCAGCTGCCCTGAAGTTACAGCCGCAGAGCTGAGTAAAATACTTGGTTCTTTAAGGAAGAGGGCTCACTCATCCTGTTTCTGATTTCCCTCTCCAGAAATGTCACTCTTTCTTGATCTGGGATGCATTTACAATCATGTACATACTCCCTTCCCCCCATATATATTAGCGTCATACATAATATGTATTTCCTTTAAAGCATCTCAACAGTTTTTTTTAAATATTAGTATTTATAGAACATTCTTTATTATACCTTCATAATCTTGAATTTTTAAAATTACATCTATTTATCTATGTATGCTTATGTGTATGTATGTGGGCACCTGTGTACCACGTCACAGATGTGGAGGTCAGATGACAACTTGTTCAGGTCAGTTCTTCCCATAAGGGTCCTGGGGATCGAACCCAGGTTGGTAGGTTAACAAGTAAGTGCCTTACTGCTGAACCATCTTGCCAGCCAGTATATTTTTATGTGGATCTTAAGCAACATTTAGTTGCTTTGCCTCTTTATTCCCAACATTTCAAAGTTGATAATGTATTTCTACTAGAGAAATGTCAGCTCCCCAGTGATCCTGTTCTCAGCTTTGTAGTTCTCACCCCTTCTATGATATACTGTCATGGTATGCTTAGGGCTGGATTTTAGGGGCTGGATGCAAAGGGTGGTTAGCAGAAGCCGGATGAGCTCTCAAGCTGCAGTGTCCATGACTGAGCCACGAGGGAGGAATCAGCATGTAACATACTACTTTAAAAGTAGTGTGAGAAAAATGTTAGAATACTTCATGACAATGAAAAAATATTGCTTAGAAGTTAATGGTGGTTTGGATGTATTGGGGTAAATTGATTCTCAAATAATTTTGCTTGGTTTTACTTTGTAAGGTGGGTAATTTAAACCAGAAAATATTAAAGTACATTATGAGGCTAATTTTTCAGCTTGTGGTGTTTTGCATTTAGCGATGCTATCTGGCTTCTTTGGGAGAAAGGTTTGTTTTGGGAACTGGTGTGATTAGAGTATTGAATAGACACAGGTAAGGGTTTACATGTTGTATTCTAGGCATAATTTACAGTTGCATAGTCAAGTGACATGGAATAGTTCATCTTAGGAAGGTTAATAAGCTGGTCCTGTTGTGTGGTATAAGACCTGAGTGCTTGCTGTATACCAGGCTGCATCCGTCCTGAGGATTTCATTCACCTGAAACTCAGCAGTTCTGGGTCATGGCTGCCTGAGTTGGCAGATGGTAGAGTCAGCTCATGATGGTAATGCTTTGGATTCGAACCCAGGCAGTCTGATTGCAGAGCTGTGGATTTTACTAAAGTCAGAAAGGGTTGACCAGACCAAGGAGCCAGTACTTCTATATGGCGAGCAGTAGATAAAAGCTACTGGACTGTTTTCTGACCCAATTAATATTTCATTTTTTTTAAGATTGAGCATTTCACACAGGAGTATATTGCATTTGCATAATTTCTACACCTCCCTCTAAGCTCTCTGTCTCCTGGTGTCCTTTCTCATCCTCTCTCTGATTCATATATTGTGGTGTATACATTATGTATGTATGTGAACATATGTAAATACACACACATACACACATATATATGTATGCATTTTTATGATTTTACACATAGAGCCTAATGAGTCCAGTTGGAGTTTTTGGTCTGTACTTCTCAATACTGACTCTTTCATTCATAGGTAAGTGCAGCTTGGCCCTCACCACAGAAGCTTTTACCAGTAGACAGAGACCACTACAGTACCTGAGCTGGTCAGAATACAGTGAATAAGTAACTGTGGGTGGCCAAGCCCCAAGTGGGACATCTGTGATAGTTTAAAAGGCTCTTTGTCATCACAACTTCATTTTTCAGCCATCCAGGACTGGCTTGATAGTCTTTTTAGTCTTTTATATAGAAAAGTTTTGAGAATATGGGTGGATTGTGTTTGTTTTACTTTGTTTGAATTATTTTGTTTTCTAATTTATTACTTTTTGTGCGCTTGTGTGCACTCGAAAGAGTGTGTGTGTGTGTGTGTGTGTGTGTGTGTGTGTGTGTGTATGTACATGCGCATATGTATAGAGGTTAGAAGGTAGCTTGGAGGAGTTGGTTCTCTCCACTGTGAGTCTTGTGTGTCAGACTTAGGTAATTAGGTTTGGAAGCAAGCACTTTACCCACTGAGACATCTGCTAGACTCTCCCTTAAAAGTATTTGTGTGTGTGTGTGTGTGTGTGTGTGTGTGTGTGTGTGTGGGTGTGTGTGTGTGTGTGTGTGTGTGTGTAAGGATGTCATATACAGGCCTGTGGAAGCCAGGAGAGGGTGTCTAATCCCTTAGAGTTGGAGTTACAGGTGGTTATGAGATGCCTTATGTGGATGCTGAAGATTGAACTTGTCTTCTTGAAGAGGTTTGGGACATCTCTCCAGCTCCTTTCCTTTATTATATTCTTCAGGCAAACTTGATTCTTTATTTCATAGAACAGGCTAAACAACTTGGCCAAGGATTTAAGGCTTAGAAAACCACAAAAATATTAAGTGTTTATCTCTACTTTGATTTCATTTAAAATGCAGAATTTTCTACCAAGTGATCTTAAGTGCCACATATTTACTCCTGAAATTTTTTCTTGGACTTAAGATACTGAAATTTTGTGAAGTCTGTTCATATAAACAATTTGGCCATGTGTGGTGGTTGATACTTGTAATCAATCCCAGGACTTAGGAGGATGAAGCAACAGGATGGTGACTTCCAGACCATCCTAGCAGAAAGAGGGTAGTGTGGGGAGGAGGGGTGAGGTTCCAGCAGGAACATAATGTCTTTTGGAATGCTTAATGCTCATAGGTTATTGGACCAGCTAGAAGCTCATTTTGAAGGAATATCAGAAGTAAAATGATGATGGGGAGAGAGCCTTTAAAATGGTACCTGCTTAATTAAGAGCTGACTGCCAGGGCCACAAAGAGTTTCCTTGTTTTAGCTCAGTGATCTAGTTCTGATGTGCCCTGTAGTATTCGAAGTCAAGTTTATGTCATGCATTAAGGACTAGTGTACACAATCAAAACTGAAAATGTTACATATTGTGTAGATAGAGCTACATAATAACTTTCCCAGTTACTGACACCTAGGCACACTGGTGTTTCATCTGATTTCTTGCAGCCAGTGAACTTTCTTAGTAATGAGCCAGGAACTAAATGTATTAGATTTCACAGGTCACATCTATGCTGGCCACATAAAATCTCTTTTTTCACTCTCCCCCCCCCCATTCCTTAAAGTCTCTTAAAATTGTAAACAGGCTGGTTTTGACTCTGCTAGTTTGATAAGCCCTGGTTTCAGAATCTCTTCATTTGTGATGATCTTCAGAGGTCTGTGCCTTCTTAAAGGGCAGGGCTTTGGAACTTCCTAGCCAACTGGGGAAGGCCAATGAAGTTTTGTTATGCTTTCATGCTATTATCCACCAAGACTGCTTTGCCTTTTTATCAGATAACCTTCCGGGATATTTTTAGAGTTCATCATAGGACCATCTGCACATCCAGCTATATTAAACCTCATCTTAGTTAACAGCCAGCTCTGGCTGTAGCCTCTGAGAGCTTCCTGGATCCTACGTGGTCCTCTACAGTGCTAGTTACATGTCTTATCAGCTTCATGTCAATGAATGTTTGATTAACACACCTGAGTCTTCACCCAAATTACTAGTGAAAACTTGAATGAGACAGCAATGATCTGACTCTAACACATACTTACAAAATGAGGTAATTATGGTGTCTAGATATAATGTACTCTAATGAATTGTTTTGTATAGAGAGCTGAATTATGGGCTACTGTTATTTCTAATAGCATTCAGAATATTAAAGTAATAAGTCAGTGGACTGACTGTGACAAACATAACTTTTCATTTAAAAGAATGTCAATTAAATGACAAACATTTTTTTGTTTTTAATTTTCAGAAAGGGTTTACACCAGCTGCCCCAGTTCATACCAACAGAGAAGATGCAGCTACCCAGACGAATTTGGGGTTTATTCATGCATTTGTTGCTGCCATATCAGTCATCATAGTATCTGAGCTTGGTGACAAGACATTTTTCATAGCAGCCATTATGGCGATGCGTTATAACCGACTGACTGTGCTGGCTGGTGCCATGCTTGCCTTGGCCTTGATGACATGCTTGTCAGGTAAGGGTGCTTTCCTGGGACCATGATGAATTGGGGGAAAGCATATGTGTGTCTTGTCACCCAGTTACATTGGAATCTGCTTATCCCAGACTTGAGTAAACAGCAAATGGTTCAGTATGTACATTATTAAAAATTCCCAGATTTTACATCTTAAATGGAATTTTCTAGCTATTCAAAGCCATGATACATACTCCTGTCATTTATTTTTGGGTGGTTTTTGTCCTTAATTTTTTTTTTTTTTAAATTTCTAGATTGATTTATTCTATGTGTGAGTGTTTTGCCTGCATGTATTTTTCCCCATGTATGTGCCTGGTGCCTGCAGAGTTCAGAAAGAGGGTATCAGATGGTGGTGAGCCATCATGTGGGTGTGAGGAACCAAACCTGGATCTCTGCAAGAGCAACACACACTCTTAACTACTGGGCCATCTCTCGAGCCTTTATTCTTTTTTATTTTTTCTTTTTTTTTTAAAGATTTTATTTATTAAGTATACAGTCTTCTGTCTGCATGTGCCCTGCACACCAGCAGAGGGCACCAGATCTCATTCAAGTGAGCCACCATGTGGTTTCTGGGAATTGAACTCAGGACCTCTGGAAGAGCAGTCAGTGCTCTTAACCTCTGAGCCATCTCTCCAGCCCTAGCTTTTATTCTTAATCCCTTGATTTTATTCTAGTGCAGTTTTTTTCCTTTCTCTTCAGTCCAGATAAGCTCATTTCTGTTTGCAGTTTTAGAAGTGGGGTTCAGGAGGCCACAGCAAACAGTGATTTCTTCCTGAGGTGCACTGAGTGATAGCTCTAAGAAGACACCTCCAGTTATTTTTATTATTTCTATGGCCATAGAAAGTCAGTCTCAAACCCAGCTGTGGCTCAAAGGGAAAACTTGTTCTATCTAGTACACTGTGTCATAGTGAATTAAGTTGAGTGACCCCTGAATTTTAGCTTCCTCCCTGTAAAGTGCAGATAATAGCTTTTTACCTATCTTATGGTTTCTGTTCTATATTGATAATTTATTAGGAGGGCTTTGCCATTTGCCTCTTAAGTATTATGAAACTAATTTCTTAAAATGTAGAACAATGTCCATTTCTGATTTTCTGGTACCTTGATGCTTAATTAAAGCTTATATTTTTATAAACACATGAGTATTTTAGATATTTAAGATAATTTGAATGCTATTTACAATTTGAAAATTAGTGTAGGTATTAATATTTTATAGTAGCAACTGATTTTCTCTTCAGAAGTAATGTGTCACAGAAGAGGAGGTTTAAAGATTGTAAGAGTCTTAGGTCAGGGAGGGCTAGAGTGATGTAGTCTTGTGGACATGACAGAGCACTGCACTCAGACTCAAAACAGCTATGATTCTCTGCACAAGACCAAGCCTATCAGCACTGTAGCTTGTATAAACCAGGAAGGAGTTCAGGAACCCCACCCCAGACTCAGCAACTGTGGACAGCTGATGGTTTCTCGGGGAGGCAGAGTCACTTTTCTTTAAGAGTATGGCCCTGGTAGGCCAACTATTTTCCTGCAGAGGGCTTCATACCCAGGAGTATATGGTCTTGACTAATTCTTTAACTTAAAAGAGAAAGAGGACACAAAGTTGGGGTCATAGAGAGGGTGGGAATGGACCTGGGAGGTTATGTGAGTTGTGTGTTGCTGATGCTAACAGGGTCATTACTATGACTATGCACTGTTCTGTGCTTCAGAATGCAGTTCCATCAGTTCTCCCAGCTCCTCTGTGTGCTTAATCCTTTCCCTCCACTCTGCTCAGTATCTTCTTTCTTAACCCTTCCTCCTGCTGTATATGGGGCTACCTGATGGCTCTGATCTCCCTATTGGGATCTAAACATCTTTTTTGCACTTCATCTGATGTTACATTAACTTTTTTTTTAAACTTAAATTGAGGAGTACAAAGATCTCATTTCTGGTATATTATATACAGCAAAACAGTTGTGGCATTGTAAAATATGTCCAATGTAGGGCTGGAGAGATGGCTCAGTGGGTGAGAACACTTGCTATGTAAGTATGAGGCCCTAAGTTTTAACTCCTAGCACCCACATAAAAGTCAGTGCCTGCCTAGGCCTGTAACCCTGCTTTGTGATGGAGATAGTAGCTCTCACTGACAGCTAAAACTGTTGAGCTTCAGGGTCTTCCTGTCGTCTCCATGTGCATACACCTTCATACATACATACATACATACATACATACATACATACATGCATAATACATACATATCAAAGACTTAAAAAGAGAGGTTAAACAATGTAAAACCATTAAAACAAGTAAATAAAGTCTGAGGCTGGAGAGATAGTTGAACAGTTGAGAGCTCTTGCTGCCTTTGTAGAGACCCAGGTTTGGCTTCCAGCACCTATAGTACCTCCTCACAGCCATCCCTAACTCCAGTGCCTACAGTACCTCCTCATACCCTCTTCTGACCACCTTAGGTGCCAGGCATGCAAGCAGGCCAAACACTCATCATCCAGGGCATCTATCAGATACCCTCTTCTGACCACCTTAGGTGCCAGGCATGCAAGCAGGCCAAACACTCATCAAACAAACAAACAAACAAACAAACAAATAGATCTACCCAGTGGAATCTTTCGTATGTGCTGTCACCATCATTCCTTTGAGGAAACATAAGCAGTTGGAAGTCCGTGGGAATTGTTTCTTTCTGTATTGTTTTCCTCATCAAGCTCTACTCTAATGCCTGCTTGAAATCTTTATATGGATCATACTTGTTTATCTTCCCATAAGAAAACATATGATGCTGGTTTTAAAGGTTTTATTATTAAGTCTCTAAACATCTAATTTTATGGATTGAATTATTATGGTCATTATATTAGTATATCGTTAAGGTAACTTGATATTTAAAAATGGGAACTTGATCCCATTAGTGTGTGTCTTTTGCTAGAGTGAAGTAAGATAAGCCATCAACACTGAAAACCAGTGAGCTTTCCAGGGTTTAGCTATGGAAAGAAAGAAGCAGAAGGATTTCAGGTCATTACATATTTGATGTGTCTAATATGAACCAGTTTCCCTTCAACAAAGTAAATTACAATTTCTTGAGTTACTGTTCCTTTGGCCTGTTGTGGAAAACACCTGTTAACACTTGGCATTTCCTTACAGTTTTGTTTGGCTATGCCACAACAGTCATCCCCAGGGTGTATACCTACTATGTTTCAACTGCACTCTTCGCCATTTTTGGCATTAGAATGCTTCGGGAAGGTTTGAAGATGAGCCCAGATGAGGGTCAGGAGGAGCTGGAAGAAGTTCAAGCAGAGTTAAAGAAGAAGGATGAAGAAGTAAGTTGTCACCGGTACATGCTAGAGGCACTTGGGGACAGAACCCTGTGGAGGATTTCAGTGCTCACGTCTGTATGTATGCGTAAACTTGATTAGTTCCATTCACACAACTTGGCTCTGATATGCTTTTGGGTCACCGACTGTTTCAAGGAGGGAAATGTTCACGAGATACAGTGAGGCTGATGACCAATTGTCTGAATCCTGGGAACTGTTAGTAAGAAGTGTTTCTATCTGAATGCTGTTTGGTTTTATTGGAGTGGGAAAATTGATACTGTGTGAGGCTGGTGGCTAAAGGGCAGTGGGAGGATGCAGAAGTCTATTTGCTTTAGTGAATATGCCATGTAATTTAAATGCATTGAAAGGATTGAGTGACTTTATACTATTTTGATATGCTTACTGGGGTTAATGGTAATTTTTGTTTCAGTTCCAACGAACCAAACTCTTAAATGGACCCGATGTTGAAACTGGTACAAGCACAACGATACCTCAGAAAAAGTGGTTGCATTTTATTTCACCCATTTTTGTTCAAGCTCTCACATTAACATTCTTGGCAGAATGGGGCGATCGCTCTCAACTCACTACTATTGTTCTGGCAGCTAGAGAGGTGAGTGGTATTTGATTGCTTCTGTATCAAGACTGCAGTTCGCATTGCTCCACACAGTGGGCAGGCAGACCACAGGATAACTAACTATCCATGCTGCAGTTTGGTACATCTGTTCATTTTATGACTTGGAATTAGCCTCCCAAATTTTTCTCCATGTCTGTGGTTCTTCTTTTCTTTTTATCTTGCTGGGTCCTTTCTGTGTTTTGCCAAAATAAAGCTGTGGCTGGTTTCTTTATCTGTATCCTTATTGAGAACATAAGTTAGTATATCACTTGCTTGTGATCCCAGCACTGGGGAATGCTAGCAGTGATGATCTTCAATTCTAAGTCAGCCTGGGCTACATATTGAGACTGTCTTAAAACCAAACAAAAATTCTAACAGCAAAAATTGGTTTAGCAGAGGGGAACTTATCACTTGTTTATACATTTCTGAGCAGCTCTTTGATTACTCATTTTTCAACATTGCTTTAACGACTCAAAAATTTTCCGAAGCACCTTTGACTGTCAGTTCTCACTGACCCAAGGAGGGTTACATTTCTGAAGTACAGAAGGGACAAATAGGATCTAAGGACATGAGAATTCTTCAGGTACTCGCCTTGGGATGTTCCAGATCTTGTTTCTGTAGAGCATTTCTGCCCCAACTCAGCTCTAGAGTGCTGATCACTGTAGTCTAATGAACAGTTAACCTGAGGCTCAAAGACAGTCTGGACCAGAAATGAGCCTATCGTCCTTCTTGCCCTTGGGCACAGGTATTTAAAAGATACCTATCTGTTTGCTACGGGGGGGTGGGGAGGGTAATGTCACTTCCTGTGAGATGTCAGTTTCTGTTCACAGACTCTGATGTCCTGGACGCTGTATGCTCTTGATGTTAATTTTGTATCAGTTACACTAGTTCATACTGAAACCTTTCAATCCTTGGAAATGTCTGTCATAAAAGATCAAGTTCCTAGGGTGGTGGTGGCAAAAGCCTTTAGCCACAGCACTTGGGAGACAGAGGCAGGGAGATCTCAGTGAGGTCAAGGCCAGCCTGGTCTAAAAGAAAATTTCTGGACACCCAGAGCTATAGCACAAACCTGTCTCAAAAAAAAAAAAAAAAATCACAAAAACCAAAAGACAAACGAAAGTTTCTTAATATAGTTCTTGAGCTTAAAATAGAAGGCATTTTCAGGCCAGGACTGAGATCACAGGGAAAGAAGCTTTAAAATGCTTTATTTGGGGATGGAAAAAATTAAAAATGAACTCTCATTTGTTCTCATAAAACAAACTTTAAGAGTGCTCCTTAATGGCTATGTCCTGTCTTCATTCTCTTAGAGTGTCAGAATCAGGCCTTCAAATGAGCTTGGGGTGGAGGCATTGCCAGGGTACCTTGTAGGTTTCTGTCTGTAGGTGCCACACAGCAGTGCATAGGGGTGTCTGCAGCCTCCAAACCAGCACTCACATGGTAACACTACTCTGCTCCTTTGTATGAATCATGCTGTTTGGCTTTTGAAGGTTCCGTTAATACAGGTTAACAGCATCTTTTCAATCTTTGTTAAGATAACTATTTAACCCACTGAATTTTTTTTTTTTTTTTTTTTTTTTTTTTAAGAACCATTTTATTTTCAGGTGGAATGAAGCAGTCTTCTGGGGTAGCAGTTTTGTGGTGGTCCATTCTCCAGTACATGCTCAGGTCATTTCCAAATCCTGACTGTATATAGGCTGCCTTTTTACTCACAGCAGCTGGCTGCTAACCAGTTGTCACTCACCTTTTTCATCCCCACCAACCATAGCACAGTCTTGGACCCCAGGTCCCACCCTCCCTTATAATGTAAATCTTTGCCTTTTCCCCAGCTCAAATTTTGGGGCATTTTTTGCATTACTCCCTCCACTCTGTCTTTAGGGGAAAATGAAGCCCCTTTCCTTAGTCCTTCTGTCCCATATCCTATTTTTACCTTCCCAAAGTTGAAAGGTCATGACCTCACAGGATGGGATGGTTAATCTGTAGCCAATTTGAGATCTTGGTGTCACCTGAGATAGCATCTGAGGTAGGAATGTTGACTAGATTAGGGTACAAGATCCCATTTATGGGTGGAGGCACCATTCCCTGGCCTAGGACTCTGGACAGTAGTATAAAGAGAAGTGAGCTGAACACAAGCAGTTATCACACTGCTTCCTAATTGTGCATGCTTGTGACCAACTGCCTTGAGTTATGGCCTCCACTATGATGAACTGTTCTCTTGAGCTGTGAACCTAAGTGAAGCTACCACCCTTAAGTTGTCTTTACTGGTTTATCACAGACATCACAGGTGTTCACCGTTATTGACTACCTGGCAGTCTTCATCCTGTTGATTATGTCCTGGTTGACTTGTCCATACTTTTTTTTCCTATGATGATGTTATTTACTACCAAACTTGGCCTTTTTAAAAGACAATTCTCATTCTGTACTTCAGGCTGGCCTGGAACTTTTGTTAGCTAACCAAAGTAAATCTCAGATAATCCTCATATCTAAGCCTCCTGAGTGTTGAGATTACAAGTGTGTTGTGCCTGACTTTCAATTGAATACACTCCACTTTTAATTTGCCAGTACCCATAATTCACTCCTGCTCCTTTTAAAACAGTTTATTTGTATGTATGTGTGAGTCTGTGTATGCCATGAGTACGTGGGTGCTTGTAAAAGCCAGAAGAAGGTATTGAATTCCCTGGAAACAGAGTTACAGGTGAGCCATGGTGCTGGAAAAAAATCTGGTTCTCAAGAAGAGCAACAAATATCCTTAAACGCTGAATGATCCTCCAGTCTTTTTTTTTTTTTAAATCACATCAGTATTTCCATGTCTATTTAGTTATTTGATTGTCATACCTGATTGCTTTTGCAGCATCCCACATGTCTTCATTCATCTGCTTTTCTTGTCTTCATCTCCTACCCCAATCCAGTCAGCATTGTTTCTTACCAGGGCTGTCATTCCTCCCTTTTAGTTCGTTGTCTCCATTGAAAACAGAAATCTACTTGTGTTAAAGAAAGCTAGCCAGTGTCTCAAGACAAGGGCTGACTTAAGAGTTTATAGGGATCCCTTGTAGCTAGGGATTGTACCTTGGTCTTTGAACAATCCTTCCTGACATACTCCTGCAGGGACTCCTCTCTGACACCTCCTTGACTCTGTAGAAACTCCAATGCTCTATTGTTCCTCCTTCACAAAACACACCACAAAAGCAGGTTCTTGCCTACTCTTCTGGACTGTCTTTTCTGGAAAGCTTTCACTGCTCCCCCAATTTGATACGGTCCAGTTCGTTCTAATAGGATTTACTCCTTGTGCTTTTAGCAGAATTTCTGCTCTCAGGAACTATACCATACAGGATTTCTATATTCAGATCCAGCCTTGTACTGCTCATTTTCCTTGAAGTAGCTATTTCCTGTTTCATAAAGTTAGCGTAAAAGCGTTTAATTTTTGACAAGTGTTTGTGATGCTAATGTGGTTTATGACCCGTTTTAAATACCAGTGTTTCTCAGACAGCATCTCCAACTCAACAAATTTAACGCTAGCTACCTTTGCTTTCAGGATCCCTATGGTGTAGCAGTGGGTGGAACAGTGGGACATTGCTTATGCACTGGATTGGCAGTAATTGGAGGAAGGATGATAGCGCAAAAAATATCTGTTAGAACAGGTAAGGTGTCATTTTTAAATTAAAATGTAAACATGTTCTAATGCTTGAAAATCACAGATGATAGAAATGGTGTGCTAGCTCGATCATCTCTCAGACAATCTGGTCTCCATGCTCATCACTTAGGTCTGAGTATTCATTACTGTTCCTGCAAACTGACTTTTCTCATGTGTACCAGTTAGTAAATTAAAAATTGATCTAAAACATGGCCTGTAATGTGTTTGACAGTCAGGCCTGTGTGAGACTTGAACATTTCAGTTTAAAGGTGGTTTGGGTTCTGAGGCTTGTAGGCATCAGCTGTCAAGCTTGGCAGCAGTACCTTTATGCTAAGCTATCCCACTGTTCGTATAGATACACGAGTTTTTAAGATCACTTACTGTAGTCCAACTGCTGCTTGCCAACATACTATTCTTTCTCTAAGCAGTGCCCAGAGAAAGGTCCCGTTATCACGTGAGAATGAGAGGAATGCTGTGCCACTGATGTTTACAAGAGTAGTTTGTCAGAGTGGAAAAATGGAAACTTGGTTTTGTTTGCATAATGTCACAGTGGAAGACATGTTGCCTCACTCATCTTCTCTCTTCTTTTTTCCAGTGACAATCATAGGAGGCATCGTATTTTTGGCGTTTGCATTTTCTGCACTATTTATAAGCCCAGATTCTGGTTTTTAAAAAGCCGTTCATCTGTATTCAGCTTAAGATATGCAACTTTCTGTACATAGTGTACATTACAACTAAAAGTAATGGAAAATACTGTATTTTGTAGTATTAATTTGTAAGTTTGACCCATTTAATCAAGTATCATGTCCAAAACAGATAATCATTGATTCTATTTGTAAAAAATTTTAAAAGAAAGTCTGACTTATGAGTTTTTCTCTAGCCTAATTATGGTAACACTTCAGCCCCTACTTTGACATGTGTTATCCATTGCAGTGGGACTGACTGCTTGAATTTTCTTGCAGCATGACCCTTTTATAAATACATTTTCTCCTTGGCCACTATGGTGTTTATATGTATCTCTTAAACATTTCCTTGGGGAAAAGAATGAATTTTTTCTACTTTTAAAACCGTGTTCCTGAGCCAGTAATCAGTAGTTTTATCTTGTCTTTTGGGAATTAGCATTAAAGAGAGAAATAAGGTTTTACTGTTATATCAATAACATGCCATAAGAGTTGTTGGCTAGGTCCGTTCTCCCTTTTATTTTATTTTTTTAATTGGGTAGGACACCCAATATAAAAATAGTCAATATTTGACAACACGGACTTACCAAATTAAGAGAGAATACTATGAATGTATTCCTATTTTTTCTATATTGAATAAACAATGTAACAGATATGTAAATAAAAGTGGTATGACTAGTACTTGTTTTTCTTTGTGTGTTATACAAATTACTTCGTAAGTTATCAAAGTAGTAGCAGTATTTCCAGTTTATTATATTTATGTTCTGACATTTCCTTCAAGGAACTAATATGCAGATTAGTCTAGAGCCCAGGTCATCCCTTATGCTAAGGTTGTTTCCCTTGGTGAATCACTGTATTCTGACTACACCGAGCACTCAGACAGCAAAGGCTCTTTTCTCCCAGCCTATGTTCTAGTGTAATGTGGTAGCACTGCCATTAATAGTTTCTTTAAATGTGAAGACTGGTTCCTCTAAAGAAATGTCCAGGCATTCCCTGTGTGGAACATGAGAGAACAATGTAGTTTACCAAGCATGACAAGTGTCCACAATGTAACTTGTAATTTGAGATTGTGAAGAACCTGCTAAGACACCTAGCACTCTAATGGAAACGTTGAAAGTTACTTTTTAGTTGTTAGCTGTTCTTCCAAATATTGTTAGGCAACAGCAAATGTTGATGAAGTCTTTTCTGCAAGCTTTTAAGGAGTTTTCCAACTCAGTACAAACTAATACTGAGGAGCAGAAAAAGCAATTTCCATGAATTAAAACACCTTAGAGAAATCCTAAGTCAACCACCCCCCCCCCCCCCCCGTACATTCTGTATGGTTAGAAAGTGGTAATTAAAATATAAGCTACAAGGTAAACATTGCTCCGGTGTTGAATAAAGAAAGGAAAATGTCACCAACAGATTTAAAAACATTTAATAGTCTTTCTATAAATCCAAATGTGACTCTTACACGTTCCGTGCCACATAAAGCAGGTGATTCTGAGAAGCAGCACTGAGGTATTCTTTATTTTTAAAATTAAAGGAAACAAAGTTTGGATCTAATTATTTTTACATTAAAAAAATGAAAACAAAACAAAAAAAAAAACCACTGCTACTGCTTGGCTCTTTTGCTGTAGTTTTAGATTCTGAGCGAATTACAGAAATCTATGGAAAACAGTGTTATAATAGTACATGGAGATTTTAAGTAAAGCTATGCACATCATACAGCAAGAGGCCTGAGTGAAGGCTTGCTGGTAACCCACTTTTACTTCTTAAAAGGGTAGCTCTGACAACCAAGTATAGCCAATTGTATCAGACTCGATGACAGTGGCGATATGCTGCTGGTAACGAGAGTCCACATTTCATTCAATACTGTATTTCTAAACGTAGCTTATGAAAACCAGGGAACCCTAATATAGCACCATTGAAACCATTCACTAGCCATCATGCTTCTGTGTAGTATAGATAGGGTTTTGGCAAGAGGCTAATACATGAAAAGAAGGCCACCCTTTTTTTGTTTGTTTTAAAATAAATTTATTTCAATTAAATTCTTGCTTTGAAAGAAGTACTCTTGTATCCGGAGATCAGAGACCATATGCCTCTCCCCTGTGAAGCTGGAAACGATGAACTATGTCTATTCTTGTTTTAATTTAAATCCAGAACCAAGCAGTAAGGACAGCAATGTCAACAACAGCAAAGCAAGAACCACAGGAACAGCAAAGACTCTGGTGCATGTTTACACACCACTAACTGATTTAACAGTTTACAGATATAAAACTTTATTTTTTGCACTAACTGGTTTTAGTACAGCACTAATTTAACTTGTCTTTGGGCTTTAGTCTTTACACAGGGTGAATATGAAAAGTGCCATACTAGAGCTTTCCCCAACTTAAACCACAGTAAAACAGATTTCAAAATAATCTTAGGATTGTTTCAATTCCAGTCATTCTGCCTGACACATCCATTGCTTAATGGGGGACTTTTTGAGGGCAATGTTTTTGCTTGAAGATGATTGTCTAGTTTATACATCAACCTAAAAATAACAGCTTTTCCTGTATTTTAGCTTCGTAGTATTCTTAAAACCACTGCCAGCAATAAACCTGAACCAGTATAGGCTAACTAAAACACAAACCATTTGAATGCCATTTTAAAAGCAATGTCACAGTTTGTTTCTCTCATTTAAAAACATCTAAAATGGTGTATTTTCAATTTACCCTCTTCAGAGTTAAAACACGTTTTGTTTAATTAAACTCCATTTGTGTCTGATTCAATCTTAATTACTGTTCTCCAAGAGGTCCTTGTGAACTAGACCCTACCAGTGGGACTCCAGAGCCAGAATGAGAGTGCTGAAGTGAGCAGGAAGTACCCTCATACAATGAGGCCTCCCATGTTCAAGCACGGCTTTACTAGACAGTGCTGGCTATGGAGGATTGAAAAATAACCAACTTTTTGAAGTTTTTGGTGTGCATACATTGTCCAATTATATGTAAGGACTCAAATATATGGACATAATGATGACAGCCATTAAAAGATACTATTTTGCTGAGGCAGCATGCAACATGTGTCCTTGATTTTGTCATACTGGCCTTTGACTGTTCTTGGGAAGTAGCTGTGTAGACAGTGCCCGTGAAACACAGAAGGCAACAAGTGACACTAGAAAGAGATTGGAGTAAGGTAATAAAGCAGAGCTGAAAGGAGTTACCTTTTAGCATTGTTTCTTAAATGAGTTCAGAGCAGGAGGGAAGTGCAGGGATGTTCAGGTTGACACGCCACTGCAGTCCTGATGTACAATGAATTCCAATTATCTGTCATTGGAGTTAAGGGGTGGTGGTGGTGGTGGTAACAAGTGTCCCAAACAAGAACCAGTTCTCCAAGGACAAGATTGTGATGCAAAACAAAACTGACCATAAATAAAATACTGGAGACCAAATGCAGAGATACAAATATAAATTAATACACAGCCATTTTATTTAGGAAACCCAGAGAACCTCATTGGGAACAAGTGTTCCTTCCAGCCACTTCTATAAATACTTACTATTGTGATTGTCAATTAGGTCAGCACCTCAGGGTTTGCTGGTGTTGTTGATGGGATCTCAATAGTCTCCACAAACTATGTACAACTACAACCTAGTTCACTAGATATTTTCCCGGGAAAACCCAGGCAACTTAGAAAGTATCATTAAACACTCCATCTTTCAAAGTATTGTTTCAGGAAAACAAGGAATGTAGTGCATGGCAACGGAAAAAAATATGCAAAACAGTCACGTGGAAAAAAAGATTTTTAATTTTTAAATATATAAGTTTGCTTAATTTCTGGTGAGCTGTTCAACACTGTTTTAAATATCCTGAATTAGTAACTATACCAGCAAAATTTACCTCCAGTGTTCCCACAGGAGACATTAAGATAAGACCAAATTATAGTTTTCAACCAAAGCAGTCTTTTCTCAGTCCTTTTTGTGCAAAAATATTACAAGAGCAACTCAAATGGGAACGCTGAAATGACATGCCAACATTTCAGGGCACATTTAAAACACTCAAAAATTCTTGAAATTACTGTATCCTAAAATATTACTACCAACTGTTTATAGATTAGTTCTGTATGTCTACTCAGACAGATGCATATTCCTAGACCTCTGAAAAGAAACAGGCTCATTGGTCTCTTTTGGTGTCCACACAATAGGCAAGATAGGTTTACAATAGTGTTTAAATGGAACTACGCATCTACAATCTCCCAATCCCACCACATTCAAAACAAAAGTCAGAGTTTATTTGGCTACCTTGAAATCACTCCCATAAACCTGCTACGGTTCACTGGCTCTAAACATTTCTCAGAAATGTGTCATTTATAAATTCACCTAAGTGATGATTAGGGGATCCTTTAAAAATGGTTAATGCCTAAGATACAAACATTATCTAAATGAATAGTTGCAATAAAGTGCTTATTACCTTTCAAATGATGCTTTTAGACTGTGGTATGTTGTTTTAAGTGTGTGCTATTCCTCCCATAAAGGATCCCCAGGCATGAGAGTCTCATCTCACCTGTCTCAGAAAGCAGCAGCTCTATCTTTTGGTAGGTAGGCTGACAATAGGCACATTACCCATGCGGATGAGGCTGTACTAGGGCTATGGCAAAAGGGGGAGAGGGACTAGAAAAGTGGGAGACAGGTGGAGGGTTCCTACTACACTCATAGTTATATACAAATATATTAAATATGCTATAAAAATAGTCAACTCTTTTCCTTTGCATTTACTTCACAAGCTCCTCTTAGAAGAGTGTTCACTCAGTCCAGACACACTTAAAAGGTTTTTCTCTAATCACTATGAAAACGGCAAGTGCCTTTGTGCTGTTCCTTCTCCACCACTGAAAAGTTCCAGTCAGCTCAATCCTGGCTATATACCCTCAGCAATATTAATATCCAGTGTTTATACCTTCTAATGTGGACTCCGTGGTGCTAAGAACAGGCCCACAGGTACTGGAAAGGTGATAGGCTTGAACAAGTTTTACACAAATGTTTACCAACAAACCTTTAATCACCAAAGAAACAGAAAAAAGAAATACTAAAAATGCTATCTGCGTTCCACTTTAAAAAAAAAAAAAGCCTCAACATAGTGGAAACATTTTAACACACAGTAATATCCAAGGGAAAAGAATCTACCTCTGTAGTTTACTTTAAGAAAGGGTCTCTTTCTAAGGCCAGAACAAGGGCTCATCTTCCTCAACACGATGCCCTTTATGCAGCTGGACTGTTTCAGTGCTCTAAGCTTCAAGAGACTGCGTTAAGGCAATGACCAACCAACCACAGAAAACAGAATTCAAACACTTACTAGTTTGCACAGAGTTTTCTATCACAAACTATTCAAAATCACTGGTGGTGTTCTTTTATTAGTAGTACATTCCTAAGTCATGTCTATGTGATAGCAGAGCACAGCACTCTAAAGCTACCCTATATTTAGGATGGAGCTTGGGGGGAAGGGCCTGTAGTGCTCATTTGCATGCAGCTCCACCTACCACATCTGTTCCCTTCCCCCATCCCCCCCCATTACTACTCTAAGGAAAAAAAAAGAATACTTTCCAATGTCTGCACTCTGGTTTAAAGCCAGCCTCAAGAGCAGCTTTGTGCTTTACTGTTCTCATTCCATACAATCAGCAATACTCCATGCAAAAGCAGCCCAGAGCAAGGTACCTGCAGGGCAACGAGAACCTACTTGACCCTCACCCTAACAATTTCTTACCTAAAAAGTGCTGCCCAGAATTAAAATTTTAAAGAAAAATGAGTCCCCATGAAATAGAGCAGGGGACATTAAGGTTTATAAGAAGCTGAGAAGTGTTTCTATTTGGTATCTTTTCATGATTTAGATTTGGGGTTTCAGTCAACAACTTTGGCTATAGAAATGAAGAATGGCAACAGATGAATCTTCATCAGAATGGGTAAGTCTGTAGGAAGCAGACAAGAACAGTTTGCCATCCAAAGAAACCAAGAATTAAGGAGCTGAGAGGCAGCTGACGCTGCCAAGTGTTGCCTAGCACAGCTCTCCATGTGGACAGCCAAGTCAGCGGCTAGGTGCTCCTTTATCAGCTGCTTTTAAGCAGGAAAATGAACTGTGAAGAACAACAGGAATTACATAATTAGCACGTTGCCTCTCCTGTTAGCTAAATCCTTAGCACTAGGTATTGCCAAAAAATGAATGAGGCACAACTCAGATGACATGGAATGGCATAAGATCAAGAAGGCAATTTGGAAGGGGAGAAAAGCAATGTGGGTGCTCTATTTTACATCAATTTCATCATGTGTGTATAAGCTTGCATATGTATGTATTCTCAAAACTCTTCAGGGTATTCATATGAATGCCAGCCATTAGAACTCCGTGATATGTTAGTTACTGACTGGTATCTAGCCACACTTCTTTTGCAGAAGGGCAGGTACCAATTTTCTTTGGTTGTTTTCTTTTTCACCACTAACGTTCTAACTTAACTGCAGCCAGGTAAACAGGAAAACAGACACACTTAAGGATGACAACAAAGCTGAGGACAGATTACTGACTCCTCGTTCCCCAGAGCCCTTACCTAGCAAGTTTGCATTAGGTGATATTCACCACTGCAAACCTCTGTTGAGCAGCCTCACCCCTTACACACTTTAAGGTCAATTCTAATTTGTCACACTTGTCTTCCCTTTCCTCAGTAATGTTTTATATTCTATTTTCAACTTTTGTTCCATAATGCAAATTTCATTATTAGTACCATAAAAATCTAAAAAAAAAAATGCTTTTTAAAATACATGTAACTTTGTTGGAGTTTATTACCTATAGAGTATGATATTGCCAGATGAAATCTTAATTCATATTTAGAAAGTATGTGAGTTACAATATTCTAGTGTTTCAATGAAAGTTAGACTATTTCTACCCCCTTACTCTGAGAAAGTATTTACTGGCAATTCTTAAAGGACTGACTACTTTGCTTTAAAGGAAGATACTAATTTGGAAACAATTTTGGGATCACATTAACAACTGTGATAGCTGTTAGGGTGGTCCAAGAGATGCAGCAGTCTTCATGGGAACTTGAGAATGACACTGAGACCCACATGCTGCTAAAAATGTACTAAGGTTTCAAAACTGCTACTGAAACCAGACAATAAATTCAAGACGGTGAGTTATCACCTGAATTAAAATCAAGGCACTATGGGTTCCCCCCCCTCAAAAACCCTGAATCATTTTGACTAAAAGAAGCATTGAAATTTTTAAGGATAATAAAAAAGATTCCAACAAATCCTAAAAGTTAAAATTCCCACCACTGAGAATGTTAAAAAGTGCCTAAAATGTTTTGTGTGCAAATTTTACTCTTATAACTGAAACATTCTTGAAATCACTTTCAGGCTTGTTGAAAACCATTTACATAAATATTCCAACTATGAAATATATCAAAATATGTGATCAAACTCTCAACCAACCATCTAAAATAAAGCAGTGCAATTCTATTTTCAAACATAATTGAAAAAAATGAAATAAGGGATATTTCTGAATAAATGGAAATGTAGCAATAATTTAACCTGAAAAAAAAAAATCCATTCCCAGCAGCACATTATACCTCACTGAACAAACTGTGACATCACAGCCAAAGCACGAACAAAAAGACTTGTGCCCTGGAAAAAGTGACTAGAACACTATTATGCTGTAAACAAAATGAAAGAGAGGCTGTTACCAGTTTGTACATGGTGTCAAAATATAATGAAATGTACTCATACCTGTAAGGGACAGATAATGCTTTCAAGCTGTGTACACAAAGTTTGCTTTCTCTCCGTCTGTCTGTCCAGACACATATACATCTATATAGCATCTATACATAAAAATTCAAACCTGCACAACATTCTGAAAGTAATCACTGTTCCATCATGATCTGAACAGGGTGGGGAGTTGGGGGTGGGGACTACTAACTACTGAACTATCTTCATGGCAATCTAAGCAAACCCCTGGCAGTGGTGTGTTCTCTGTAACATTTGGTACCAGGCACAGAACCACTAAAGCTACCAACATTGTTAGTGCTTTTCAGATTCAGTAAAGGTCATGATAGTTGAGCTTGTTAACATTTGGCAATATACTCTTTCTCCATCAAAAAAAAAAAATATATCTGGGCAAAGAAACTGTCAGAATTGGCTGTGTCCCTATAATCGTCTCCCACTGGCTGGTATTTAATGTACATCTGTAGCACTAGGCAGCATTTCCCTACCAACTAATCCAGAAACTGGAACACTCACTACCACCCTCACAGAACTGCTAAACCACATGTTATCCAAGTAGCTTTCTGGCCATCCCCTTCCTCTCTAGTGTCAGAGAGAAAGTGTGTGTGCTACTGTGGCTGGACCTTGGAAGGGTCAGTCAGGCTGTCAGTCCTGTGCCGACTAAGCTGCTGTTGCTGCTGAGGCTGGTGTTGCTGGTGATGTGGTGACGGAGGGAAAGGGCTCTGTTGTAGTGGGAAGGCAGCAGAAAGGATGAGCTGAGTTGAAGGATTCCCATGGAGCAACCGGGATGTCTAAAACAAAAGAAGCATTATACAGCATGGCTTTGTGCCTTCACACTATCCATTCGCACTGCCCACTGTCCACAGGGACAAGAGCTTTATTCTCATTTTGTTTGCTAGTCTAAAAACTATTTTTGGAGAACAGCAGTCTTACCTTCTTTCCGAAAGCATAACAAAATTTAATTTTTTAAAAGAATTTGTGCTGAGAATTTCATAGCATAAAATACTATTGTCTTGAGACAAACCACATATTTTTACTTTATTTCCCATAGGCCCAATTTTTAAGCAGAAAACTGCAGCACAGCTATGTCTGTATAAGGCAGGAATACTCCCTGGTTAGACAGACAATGCTGTCTGCACACAGTCTGCCTGCTGATAAAGAATCAAGACTGGGGTTGAGCAAATAGCTCCCTTTATAATGTGCTTATAATCCCAGTATGGGTGCGGTGGAGACAGAAGAATCTCTGGGGCTCACTGGTCAGCTAACCTAACCTAGTAAGTGAACCTCAGGTCCCTTTGAGAGCCTGTTTCAACACAGCAAGGTAGACTAAGGAAGAAAACCTGAGCTTGACTATTGGCCTCCATATGTTTGCACTTGTACACACTTGTGTACCTGCCCCCCCCCCCGACTTGGGTTAACCTGAGCAGTCCACCTGTCAATGTGTGACTCTGTCAAGCTGTGTACTCCTAGCCTCCACCTTTCGCTTACTACAAGTGTCTACTATGCTGAGTTTGTACAGATATTATAGAAAAAGGAGGGCACAGGTGGAGGCTGAGGCTGTTGCTGTATGAGGTAACAAAAATCAAACATCAAAACAATCCCTCCCCAACACAGAACGTCTATCATTACTAGTCCACATGTCTGACTCTGAAAGCCTCAACTTTAGAAGTCTGTTTCTTTCACCACATTGACTTCTGGCTGCTTATTTGTCTGAACTGTGGTACACAAAAAACTGAGAGAAAGGGAGAATTTTTGAGTAAAGCACTTCTGGAAGAAAATGTACTTACTGCAACATTAAGCTGAAGCTAATGTGGGTAAGTGACATTTGCAAATGTGTATGTATGAAGGAAACCTATGTACATAAACATAGGACAGACCGAAACCTTAGATAAGAAAACTTGTCAAGGACCTTTGTAATTTTCCTTCTTGATTTGTTACTAGAACAGTCTTTGTAAGACAAAGGGATTTATGGCATTTACTTTCCTGATTAGAACCCAAGTACTTTTTCAAACAGAGGTCCATTAAAAAAGCCAAGTTATGCATTTATTATCTAAATAAATACATTATGGAAAACATTGCCTATCTAATATTTTTACGGTTCTTATGCTTTGGGGACACATGTTTGTGGTGGGGGCAGGGAAGAAGATGTTCATTTTACAAAGTATTTATTGTGTTTGTGTGTGCACCCACTAGAGTTCACACGTGGAGGTCAGCGAACAACTTGTAGGAGTCAGTTCTTTCTTTCCGCCTTGTGGGAACCTGAGACCGAACTCAGGAAGTCAGGCTCAGGAGAAAGCACCTTCATTTACTGAACCATCTCCTTGGTCCCAAATGTTGATCTAAAAGGGCTTGTCTTCCTCAATAGATTTAGAACACTGACAACTTAAGGCAAATCACATTTTTTAAGCTTTTGTTTAATTCTCACAGGTGATTTTATATATTTCACCTAAATAATGGCCCAAGACTGGTTTTATTATTTGTAATAATAGCTGACCCAATTATTAATTGTAGTAGTTCAGTCTTAAGGTCTGTGGGTGTGACTCAGCTTTATTTAAGCAATGAGGCTGTTTTGGTATTCCTCGCTACTAAAGTATTACACCTAGCCCAGATGGGCTCTAGAAGAGAAACCCAGATCCCCCAATAGCAGAGTATAGAAACCAGTTCTGCTGGTTCTTTGCTGGGGACCCTGAACCAGGTGACTTTCTTCTGGACCTACAGATATGCAGATTCTGTATGGTTTATCCACATGGTATCTGTGTGAGTTTATCATTAATATGAGTGTATTATTACATTTGCTGGTATCATGGTCATCAATGACAGCTAGCTACATACCTGACAGTATATTTAGCAATTTACATGCTTTTTTTAAAAAAGGGTGAAGTACAAGTTTAAGTGCTGTGCCAAAGGTCATGTGTATGTGGTATAGCAATTACTCAATTGAGGCACCCTGACTTTAGGGCCTAAGTTCTAATCATAACCTATACTGCATCTACACTGGATTTCTCCTCTGACATTAATTTCTAACAAGAAAATTCTGATATCTGGCATAGTAGTGCATGCCTGTAATCCCAGCATGTAAAGGCAGGAACACAACACAACAAAACCGCAATCTAATAAAATCTAATCTGATGAATAAGGTTAACTCCTAGGCTAACAAAGGGATCCTTCTTAATGTCCCTGCCCAATGAAGAGTACAGTTTGATGGTATCTAAGAAAGAAGAAAACAGTTTTTTTTTTTATTAAATTCTAGAAATACTAGCCTCAGACAGAAAATAAACTCAATAAGTGATAAAGTCAGGAAGTAGGCTGCTTACTCTAGCCATAAGTTCAGATAACTAAGTATGACTAGGCAAAGCTTTAAAAGCCTTCCAAGATGAAGAAGATAAAATAGCCAATCAGGACAAGTTTTCTATGTCTGTAGATATTTAAATCCTACAATAAGCTTTTACAGATTTTCAAGGTCCTTTACAAACCTGTTCACCGAACATCTTAATTGGCTATAAAATAGGCAAGCAGCTCAAGGCAACTTCTTCATGGGGAGATGTACCTGTAAAAACTGCTGTGGTGGCTGGGTCAGCTGAGCCTGAGACGGTTGCTGAACTGAAGGAAGCTGTTGTTCCTGGGAGCTCTGCTGCTGCTGCTGCTGCTGCTGCTGTTGTTGTTGCTGCTGTTGCTGCTGCTGTTGCTGCTGCTGCTGCTGCTGCTGAGATAATGTCTGTGCCTGCTGCTGTTGTGTAGCAAAGGTAGGATAGGCAGTCACCACCTGACCCATAAGCATGGTACTTGGTACCATGACAGCCCCACAAGCTACAGGAGCAGTCACTAATTTGGTTACAAGTTGCTGACCTTGAGAAAATCTGTGAGAGAAAACAAAGAAATTGTGTCAGAAGGACAAAGCAAAACTCAGTCAGCTAAATATTTATCTTAGATAATACCAAATGAAATGGTTTATTTATTTTATAAAAGCATGCTCCTAGTTTCTGTTTTCAGAGATTCTCCTTGGAGGCTACAGACATAGCTTAGTGGTAGAGTGCTTGCATAGCATGTTGGGGCCAATCTCCAGCACCAAAAACAATTTTAAAGGACTTTTTTTTTTGAGATATCAATAAACCAAACCATGTATATATGTATATATTACAACAAAATGAGACACAGAAAAACAACTTTTAAAGATACTCATATTCAAAATAATGAAGGACCTTTCATATCACATATTAAAATTAGTTGAAAATGAAGAAGATATAAACATAAGATATAAACTACAATACTCTTAGGAGAAAAAAAAAGGCACACAGCTTCATGATATTGGAATTGGCAACAATCTCACTGGCACAGGTAGGTAATAATAATAAAAAAGAAATCAATTGGATGACATTAAGTTTAACCAGACATATAAAGAACTCTTAAAATCAAACAATATTCAACACATTTAAAAACTGGATAAAGGTTAAACCTTTTACTTCAAAAAACACAAATAGCGAACAGACACATAAAAAAAAAAAGTCCTCAGTAGACCTTCATTAGAGAAATGAAGATTCAAACAACAATGGAAAGCCACTGTATGTCAGTCAGGACAGCTATTATAGAAAAATACAACAGCCTAGGAAAACTATTTCTTAATTTGCTTTCTATTGCTATGATAAAACACCACAATCAAACAGCAACAAGAGGAGGAAAGGGTTTATCTGGCTTACAATTCCAAGTCACAGGCCACTGAGGGAAGCCAAGGCAGGAAACTGAGGGAGTAACTCAAGTTGAGAACACAAAGAAACACTGTTTACTGGCTTTCTCTTCTGGGCTTTCTTATACCCCAGAACCACCTGCTTGGGAACTGCACTGCACACAATAGGCAGGGCCTTTCCACATCAGCTATTCATCAAGAAATTGCCTTACAGACTTGCCTACAGAAAATAGGATAGAGGTATTTTCTCAACTGAGGTTCTTCTTCCTGAAACTCTAGCTTGTGTCAAGCTGACAAAACAACAACAAACAAACAACAAAACAAAAACAAAAAACTAATTGGGACAACCCGTGACAGTTCCTCAAATAATTATAAGAAGAATTCCATTTCTGAGCACTGAGCCAAAGCAAAATGAACACAGGGGCTCAGACGAGTATGCTTTTGTGCATAGCTGTATTTACTCATAGTAGCAATGTATGGAAGCAACCAACTATCCACTGACAGATAGAATGGCTAAGGGAAATGCTACCTACATGTTACACACAGAAGAGCCCTGGGAATATTAAGTTAAGTGAAATAAACCAGTTACGAAAAGACAAATTACTTAGTAATTTACACCAAGTATCTTTAGGCAGTCAAATTTATATAAACAGAAACAGAATGGTGGTTGCCAAAAGCAACAGGCAGAAAGGTTAAGGAGTTGTTTAACGAGTTTCACGTTGGAAAGATGAAATATGTTCTGAAGATGGTTGAGGGTGATGGTTGGAACCACATGTGGATAGACTCAAGGCCACTGTGCAGCCCATTTTAAGATGGTTAAAAAAAGAAGTTCTTGTTGTATATATTCTATCAATTAAAAATTTTAACTCTGTAAAAGTTAACTTACAAAATGGCAAGGTATTTAGGAGTTAAATATATGGTGAACATGGTTCATTTACTACAATGGCAATAATTCATGAGGAAATTACAACAACTACAAAATTTTTAAAAACTTTACCTTTATAGAAAAATTATACTCAAGGTTTTATTTTATAAATGCAAAGGAAACGATATTCTAAGGATAAACCAAAGTGAAATTTATCAATATATAATATTACTTCTGGTCAAAATTTATTCCTTGTTCTTCTCTCCTACTCTTCTTTCATGACAGTTATTATTTGTTTGCCTTTTCTGTAAGATGGAGTTCATTCCTAACACCATGACAGCAAGTGAATAGACATGACTACTCCACATAGAGATGACGAAACTACAGAACAGTTCAGAATTCAAAATAGCACTGAGTTTAGTACAGATATGCACTTTATTATTAATACAGTCCACATGACCAAAAACAATTTTTATTTTTGCAGCTCCAAGGATAGAAACCTGGGTACTTACACTCTACCAAGTCAAATCCCTAGTCCTTTAAAAATAATGTATACCTAACTCATGTCAGATTTTTGTTTTGTTTTGTTTTTCTGTTTGTTTTTATTTTTATTTTTTTGAGACAGAGTTTCTCTGTGTAGCTTTGGAGCCTATCCTGGCACTCCCTCTGTAGACCAGGCTGGCCTCGAACTCACAGAGATCCGCCTATCTCTGCCTCCTGAGTGTTGGGATTAATGGCGTGTGCTACCAACGCCTGGCTCTTGTCAGATCTTAAAAATTAAATTCTGTAGTCCATAGACTTCAGGACCAAATGCATAGGAGCAAAAGAAAAACAAACAAACCAAAGAAACAAAACACAACTCAAAAAAATTTCTACACAAATAAAGTCCAAAGCGACAACGATTACAGTCTGTTTTGTCACGGACCTGCTAACTACCAACTTCTTTGTCATGGTGAAAAAAACCAGCAACTCACCAATAGAGGAATACTCTAACCATCTCTGGACCACATACATTTTTTAATCTACATCTGGTGGCCTCACCTGGACATGTAATTATTTCCTCTGCTAAACTGCCTCTCTGAAACTCTCCACACACCAACCTCAAGCCATGTTTTTTTAAGACATAGGCCAACAAGCTTCTCCACAATGTTTTCCCTGACCATACTTTTCATTTGCTTGCTTCAACCCATAAAATTCATCTGTTCCCCTATAAAGTCTGACAAATATTTATCACACCAAGTATATGTGAGCTGGTTATTCTTTTGAAATACATCCCTTTTCCCCGTCTGCCCCCACAAAAGATATTTACAAATGGTTGCTAAAATGCATCCTCCAAAATGCATGTCAGTATTCTAGTTTAATGTCTTTCTTCTCAGGCTTTAAAAATCATCTTCTGGCTAGGGATGTACATCAATGGCAGCAGTGTGTATGCCTAGCATGCAGAGAAGGCTCTGGGTCCAATCACCAGCAACAAAAACAAAACAAACACCAACAAAAATCAACCCCCAGTGGGCATTCTGATGGCACATTCATAAGATTTGCCCAAGAATGTGAGCACTAAGGTTAGATTTTTTTGAGGAAGCTGAGCTCCAAGGAACAACAGATTTTCTGCTCTCACTGCCTATATAGTCTTGCAGCTTCCTCGGTCTGAACAGTATTGTTATCTTAAAAAACAAACTGTTCAGCCAGGCTTTGGTGGTGCACGCCTTTAATCCCAGCACTGGAGAGGCAGAGGCAGACAGATCTCTGTGAGTTCGAGGCCAGCCTGGTCTACAGAGTGAGTGCCAGGATAGACTCCAAAGCTACACAGAGAAGCTCTGTCTCAAAAAACCAAAAAAAAAAAAAAAAAAAAAAAAAAAAAAAAAACCAACAACAAAAAACCAAACTGTTTAATACAACAGCAAAATACGTAAGCAGTAGCACACATGTAGTAAAGACAATAAAAACATGAAATGATTTCAGATCATGTATTTACTCCACAGAGATCCTATAGTTAAAAAAACAGCTTCCAAACAAACTGTATTTATGCAAAAATTGTTTCAGAGTTACCACTCTAGACACAGTTGCCTGTTTTTCTATCTAGGCACTTAAGCTTTGAAACCACAAGAACTCACAGCCACCCCCTAGCACTTGGCCAAACTACTAAAAACACACATTTTCTCACCTGAGACATGGGAAAATGAAGCAAGATACCAATGCTTTTTTTTTTTTTTTTTTATTTAAGACATGCAACATTTTGAGCAGAAAGAAGAACCAAGCTGCACTTGTACAGAGCCTGTTAGAGCCTCGTTGACAGTCAGTACAAAATGTAGTTTTATATCTGAAAGCCCAGTTTGGGATGAATACTAAATTTTGTTGTTATTCTGTTAAGTCTGTAATAACAGATACAGTATTTATTTCAAATCTTAAAAAATGGGAATAGGAAGCAATAAACAAAAATTTCATGGTAAAAAATAAAATGATTGGTTTTGGAGAAGAGTGTAACACTGAGGATTGAACTGAGAGTCCTGTCCATGCCAGGCAAGTTCTCTATTCCTGAGCCTATCATTAGTCCATATATGTACATCTCTGTAGAGAGAAATCCTGATTAGAGGTACTGCTGACCATGCCCACTTGGGCCTGCTCAGAGTTATGTAACAAGGGTTTAAGAAGGACAGAGTTGTGCACTGGGCTCTCTTTCGCCTGGTTGAGCATTCTCTGGGTCCATCCTGCTCAGGAGCAAACCTGGTCACTGGCTGGCTTGCCTGAGTACCTTTCCCCAATAAACTACTGTTTATCAACCTATTTTTGACTCCACTTTGTAAACATCAATATCTGGTGTCAGGAGTTTTGGGAATGAATTTGAACTCATAAGTGGGTTGTGATCTAGGGAACTAACCCAGTTGGTGGCCGGGGGATTGCTGAACCGGGCCCAGGTAACTCTTTCGGCCTCGCTTACGAGAATTGCTCTAGCGGAATGCCTGTGGGCACTCATTGCCACCTAGTCTCTTCGGCACTGCCATCTCCCATTGACAGGAAGCCACCGCCGTTGCCTGGGGGTTTCATCCCTCCCAGGTCAGTCTTCCAGCCCAAGCCTGGGTTTCCACCTGCAGCCTTCCCTGGTTTTCCCAACCTGAGGCCCCTCCCCCTATGGTTATCACCTCAGCCACCATCACCACTGCCCAGCGCCATACCGTCTTGGTGCCTGGAACTGGCTACAGCCCTGTGGGTTTCCAAAGCCCTTCCTTCTAACAAAATCCCATCCCTTTCATTTGTTCTAACTCAGTCTGAAAGCCATTTAGATATTTTTCAGAATTGTCTGGAGACCAATT